CCCCAAAACCCCAAAACCCCAAAACCCCTAGTAGTAGCGATTTGACAATAGCATTAGATAAATTAATGGCTGATTAATTATTCAAAAATTCGATTTACGATAGTCAGGGTTGTACTTTACTCCTTGTTGCAAATCGTTCTCATCATCATTAAACTGGTTTTCCATAAGTATCCTCCTAGTGATGAGATCCTAGACCATATCCTAATTCTTAAACTGATTTCTGAAATTTCTTCTTTCGTCTTCTAATATCTAATCATATACATTGCTAATAGCTACAATCTGCTTCATTTTATCATAAATAGTGTAAGCTTTAACCGCTATCACGCCGTAAATCAAATATCTAGCAAATTTGTTTTCCTAAAAGAATTTGCTGATGTCTTTTCTACTAATGCTTTAAAGTTATTATATCTAGGGTGATTTCATTGCTTAATTTGCTCTTTGTTAAGAGTTCTTCAAAATATCATTAAATCTGTCCATTAAACTTTTGCACTAAGTTTATTATTTAGCGAATGGCAATTATTATCTGAAATATAAGATTTGACTCACTTAAATTATAATTACAAAATTTATTTAAGAAGGATTAATAATAGTGGAAGCCTTTCATATTATGCAGCAGCCTTTCAAGTAATCAAACACAAATAATCCCATTTCTGCTAATACTCCTAATTAAATCATGAATCAAACCCAAGCCTTATTTCCTAGTGAGTATTAAAGATCTAATTATCATAACGTTAAAAACTACGGCATAAACAATAGTAATGATTATGGATTACAACAAAAGTAGCATTCTATGAATCTCGGTTATCAAAGAATGAGACAGCAATAGTCAATGAACAACTAAGCTAGCACAAGGAATTAACATAAATCATTTATGAATACCAGCCCAGAATAACATTAGAACGTAAATCATTCAATAGATAATCATATTCAACAATTTAACTTGAGAGTTCAGTCTATATCTCAGAAAGATCAATATATCAAGCATTAATTGAAACTCTTAGAAGATTCTTGAATATCAAGAAACACTTAAAAAACAGTGGTGATTTCTGACAGTACTACTAAAAATAGTCTATTACACAGTATTGGAAATCTTAAAATGAAAAATCAGGCAATTATACACGAAATTGATACTTCACTGAATAATTCTTCGCATTTTAAAGTCAAGACGAGACTGGGATCAATAGGAGGATAAATGAATCAGACTTTTTTCGTCCAGACTACCAAAAATAATATTTCAAATGATTATGCAAACGACAATCAATCAATGGTTAATTATCTGAATACAACTGATTATAATACAGCCACTGCAGCAAGAAATATAGTTGCAAGCAAGAATCAGTTCTTCGAATTGAGAAATAAGACATCAAAAGCTTCTGCGTAAAGAAGAAGAAACCTGAGTTCTATTATATAGCCAGGAGTTTCAGTTCCTCGTGACTCAGATCAGGTTGGCAATCAGAGTTTTATTAACACTTCAAGAATCTCACCATTAAATAGAACCTTTAACAAAGTCACCACCTTAGAACCTGAAAAGAAGACTGTAATATTTGTATTTATCTTAATATTCATATCTAGTCTCCATTTAGACAGAAGTATCTTTATGAAGATACAAGCATTGATAGCCACGTAAAGAAATAAGAAAGAAGAATTAGAAGTTTAATAAGAATGAAAGAACATGAAGAGAACAAACTATATCAAATTCACTCCCAGCAAAGGAAGTCTTAAATGGCTAGACTTTACTATGAAGTTTATGGAAGTAAGCTAATATTATCTTAGATTATCAATAAAGTTCATGTGAATGAAAGAGATGTGATGTTTATGTCAGAGATAGAATTAGAGATGAGCCTGAAAAGAAGACTGCTTAAGAGAAAAATGACCTAGATGGCCATTAAAATACAATCCTACTACAGAATGAGACTCTGTAGATAGCAGTTTGTTAAGTACCTTGAAATGAGGAACAAGGCTGCGAATAGACTTTAATAGTTTTGGAAAAGATATCATATGTGGTAGCTTATTCCTTAGGCATTACTGCACCGAAAAACTCAAGCAGCAATTAGAGTTCAGAAATATCTCAAATCATTCATTGCTCACAAGAAAATCTTTCAGCAACTTACCTAATTTAAATTCGATACTTGCTTTTCTTACTTTTCAGAACTTAGAGTAAAGATTGTTGAAAACGCATAAATTTTAATTGCTTATCATTGGAGAAAATACAAGAAAAACAAAGCCATGAAGCCAAAAAATAAGAATGTTAAAAAGGTTAATAAGTTTGGAAGACAGATAACTAAGAGAGAGGAACGAAATGTTCCTCCTAAAAAATAGATTACCTCTACAGGTGTGAATGCAAATAATACATTGAATAGAGAGAATAGTCCATCTAAATAGCAATTGATTTAGAATAGTAAACCATCAGATGGCCAAGTTAGCTTGAATAAGGTAAATACTCAAACAAATAATGCGAAGAGATCTCCATAAATGAATCCTTCTCTTAATAGCATTATTAAAAAGGCTGATTTTTAAAAAACAATCGGGATTCAAAAGTAAAACACTGGAGATAAAAAGCCAATTTAAAATCTAAATCTAGGAGCTATCGCTTAAGTTGCCCAAAAAATAGTCCAATTCAAAAGTTAAGTCGGAAGTTCCACAAATAGAACAAACAAAGATAGTAATGGGTCAGGTATTTAAACTAAACTACAAGAAATAGTAAACTAAGCATAGGAATTAGACTAACTTAATTATTCAATAAACGAGGAAGAGAAGGAACAAAAGGAACATTAAATAAATACTAATCCAACTCCTCCGTCTGATTCAACTTTGATCAATAGACGAAGCAGTCATCATTTCTAGTCTGAATTAAATCAGTAAAATACTCGCAAGCCAGAAATTGTCCTCAACATAGACTCTAATCATGATATCATACTTTAATAGTAAGAACAAGAATCAGAGACTATGTCAAATGAATCAACTAAGAATTAAGAGGAAATACTAGAAAAGGAACTTCAGGAGGAAAATTAAGAAAACTCGAGCATTTCAGAGAATGAAAATGAGAATAACTTTGAAATGAATGAAAGCAAAAACGATAAAAGTTAATTCAATGATAGGAATTCTAACGATAATTTAAATCTGTAAAATTCTTTAAAGTCTCAGAAGTAGGAAATCAGAAGTTAAAATCGTAGCTAAAGCAATCATGCCCATGAATTGCAATTGCATGAATAAAGTTCTAAAACATCTAGCAAGAGATCAATCTCTGGAGCAAAAGCAAATATTAATAGTTAAGATAAAATGAGTAAATCTCCACCAATAAACTCCCTTAAATAAATAGCTTCAAATAAAACTAACGGGGGAAATAAAAGCTATTTAGAGCAAAGACATTGAGTTATGATAATAAAAGGAAATAACAAAGAATTTCAACTTCAGAATCTTAATAGATTATAAGATAATAATATAAGCAAAATCTTATCAAACTTATTATCAGTTTTTATTTCATAAACTTCTTATTTTAAAACTATCAATTCTCCATTAAGGGGTTTTGGGGTTTTGGGGTTTTGGGG